TCAGTGGCAGCCTGCTTCCACTCTGCAAAGTGCCCGAAAAGTGGCAGGCTCAGCCCAGGAAGTGGTATGCCACAAACAGGGAGTCGGTGTGGCATGTGTTAGGCACCAAGGACTTAGTGAGTTAATGAAAACACAAGCATGTATACAGTGAGTTCTGAAAAGTGAGACCTTCTGTACTGGATTCTTGTTGCAGATCCGGGATTTACTACACCAGGATGAGGATAACAACCTTTTAAAAAGAAACACAACAAGGGCAGCTACCATATTACTGTCCTCACAGATTTACCTTAATATAAAAAGAGTATAAAGCCAAATAAACTGGTCTCCTCTACTCACTGTTGTGCGCTTTCTGTGTTGATCTGGTTGTTCTCCCTTCGGTGTCTCTGCAGTGACTGGTTTACTTTTACACTCAGTGGCAGTATTTATAGATCCTTGTTACAGACTTTTCTGACATTCTTCAGATCTGGCTGAATTCCAGCTTCTCTCAGTCTCCTCCCAGCGATAGAAAAATATATTATAATGTGACACTGGCTTTCTGCAGATCATTTATTATCATGTATTATGCTCAGTGCAAAGGTGAGTGATAGTAAAGATGCTGGCTTGGTGGTTAGTATTAGCTACCCTCCCATATATAAAATCTGGTTTCTGCCCGGACACCAGAGGCCACCACCTAAAACTGGTGGAGAAAAGATTTAACCACAAGGGGCGTAGGGACTTCTTCTCAGTGAGATCGGTTAAAGTCTGGAACTTGCTGCCACAAGCAGTGGTATCAGCTGAGAGTATTGAATCATTCAAAAAGCATTTAGATACCTTCCTCAGAGACCGCAACATACAGGGGTACAGGTACTCTTAAAAACAAGGACGGAAAAGGGACTCGTGTACACACATACACATGCACAATTACACACATACACACAAAGGTTGGACTTGATGGACCTGTGTCTTTATTCAACCTCAAATACTATGTAACTACGTAACTATGTTAGTGGTCACAATAATAACCCTCAGCATTGGTGTCGGTGGACTCAATAATAACCCCCAACACTGATGTTAGTGGCCACAATAATAACCCCCAGCATTAATGTCAGTGGATTCAATAATAGCCCTCAGCAATAATACCGATCAGCTTTGGTGTTACTAAACTCAATAACAACACCCACATTGACGGTCAGTGGCAGTGTTAGTTAACCCCCTTCCTGAAATTATGGACACCGGCAGCCTGCTTCCACTCTGCAAAGTGCCCACAAAGTGGCAGACTCAGCCCTAGACGTGTTGGGCCGCACACAGTACATGGGCCACCAAGGACTTTAGTGAGTCAATGACTTAAGACAAGTATGTATACAGTGAATTCTGAAAAGTGAGACCTGCACTGCATCCGTGTGGCAGATCGTGGATTTACTACACCAGGATGAGGATAACAACCTCTTAAAAAGAAACACAACGACGATAGCTACCATATTACTGTCCTCAAAGTTTTTTGGTTTTTTTAGCATGTAAAATTTTTATTATTTGAAGTAGAATAATACATACATACATGGAGGAAAATGTCACCAGGAGATAAGCAGCTAAACAATGTTCCCTCTAACATCAGGGCTATATATACGTTACGGCTTTCAGTCTCTAGGTTATAGGAAAATAACAATGGGTAGACATCAATCCATGTGTACAGTTAACATAATGAGTCAAACATAACTCAAATCTCGAGAACAATAAACAACAAAATCTTCCTCAGGGCATGTGCATGGATTTAATAGATTTAGGTAATACTCGGGGACGAACTGAGGGTAGTATGAACAGGGCTATGTAAGAGATGTAAGGATTCGCAGGAAAAAGTATCTACTACGATGAAGTAGCTTATGTACAGGAATGGGAATTTTAGTGGATGTGTCAAAGGACATCGAGGTCTCCCAAGGTGCCTGCCAGTTTGGCCTTGAGGTACCATTTGGACAGTCTGAATATGGACATCAAGTCTATTAATTGGGCTGGCGACAATTCATCTAGGATGAAGGATTTCCAAGTATCGAAAATTTTTTGCAGTCCTCAAAGTTTTACTAAATAAAAATGTATAAAGCTCAATAACTCGTCTCGTCTACTCACTGTTGTGCTTTGTCGTGTTGATCCGGTTGTTCTCCTGTGCGTGTCTCTGCAGTGAATGGTTTACAATTACACTCAGTGGCAGTATATATAGATCCTTGTTACAGTCTTTTCTGACATTCTTCAGATCTGGCTGAATTCCAGCTTCTCTCCATCTCCTCCCAGCAATATTAAAATATATTATAATGGGACACTGGTTTTATGCAGATCATTTATTATCATCTATTATGCTTAGTGCAAAGGTTAGCGATTGTGTGATAGTAAAGATGCTGGCTTGGTGGTTAGTATTAGCTACCCTACCACCCTGCCTGGACACCTCCATGTATTTATAAACACACACTCTCTGGTAGACTGACTCAATGCTAAGCATTGAGCACAATAACTTTCATTTAAACATATGCCGATTAGACATAACATTATGACCACCCACCTAATATTCAGCAGGTCCCCTTTTGCCACCAAAACAGCCCTGACCCATCGAGGCATGGCCTCAACTCTGCCTCTGAAGGTGTGCTGTGGTATCTGACACCATACCCTTCAGTAGCAGATCCTTTAAGTCCTGTAAGTTGTGAGGTGCGGCCTCCATGGATCGGCCTTGTTTTTCCAGCACATCCCACAGATGCTCGATTGGATTGAGATCTGGAGAATTTGGAGGCCAAGTCAACACCTCAAACTCGTTGTGTTCCTCAAACCATTCTTCAACCATTTTTGCAGTGTGGCAGGGCTCATTATAATGCGGAAAGAGGCCACTGCCATCAACGAATGCCATTCTCATGTACTTGGTCTTGGTGTACTTGGTCAGCAGCAATTATTTTTATACAGTATTTATATAGTGCCAACAGTTTGAACAATATAGGGAAGACATTACAATTACAATACAGTTCAAAGCAAGATGGTAAGGAGGGCCCTGCCCGGGAGGGCTTGCAATTTAAGAGGGAGGGACAAGTGATACATGACGAGGCAACTGTGTACAGGGCCGGATTACTCACAAGGCCAACCAAGGCCTGGCCTTGGGGAAGCAGGGAGTAGAGCTGCAGTAGGGGTGTGGAATTCCTATCTTCCGATGCCCGGGACATGCAGTTCCAGGCGCCGGACGGGTAGTTGTTTTCTACATATAGCCCGGCTTTGGGCAAGCAGAGCTAAATGTACTGCGGGGAAGCCGCTGCTTGTTTTGTACAAGTGATCTCGGCGATGTCGCCTAATTCACTTGCATGCACCCTGCAGGTCGGCCATTCTCCATGGGGGGGTTGGCGGGTAGGGGGGCGCATTGAGGAACCTGGCCTTGGGGCAGCAAATAGAGTAAATCCGGCCCTGGCTGTGTGGGGATGAATTGTTTGAGAAAGAGTTCAGTGGTTAGTTTGAACGGTGATATGTTTGCCTAAAGAGATGAATCCTTAGCGATCGCCGAAAGGCAGTCAGAGTGGGAATGTTTAGAGCAATGTTTAGGTCGGTGGTACGTGTCAAAGTGACATCCACATAAATGGCAGGACCGAAGGTTATCTTTATAGAGGTGGTTCCTTTGCACCATCAGCCATGGAGCTGATACTCGCTCCATGGCTCTGAGCGCCAACAATCATCCCACGTTCAAAGGCTGTTAAATCGCGCGGTTTACCCGTATCTTCAGAAACAAATCACTTCTACTGTCGTGGTAAACAACCTGCTTCCCTATTTATAATGGTCCGGCCCTCTAGCAACTTCAGAGCAAAATTATAGCTAATTTGCCTACAAACGTCAGGTGGTCATAATAATCTGGCCACTCAGTGTATAAAAAAGTGATCATGTAAAGTTTTCCTGATGTGTGTTGCTAGTTTTAAAAATACATAGAACCCTCAAGTATATATTCTCTCATTAAAGGAGAACTATGGGGTTAAGGCTTTTCCACATAGTTCTCCTTAGGGTAACGGGAGGACACAAACTAGCGTCCTCCCGTCACCCTAGGCTCAGTAAGTATACACAAGCGTTTAATCCAATCCGACATTTTAGTGAGCCCGCTTTTGTACCTGATTACAAATACCAGAAGTGTACCAAGCAGTATATAAATATAATATAAATAATAAAACAATATAATAATTGTATAGTGCGCATATCCAGATGTACTATGGTATGAGGTATGCATAGTTCTATAAAGCTCAGAGGCTCCATTCACACTTGTGTGACGTACCTGCACCATTTGCACTGCATTGTGGTGGCATTCAATTGTGAACAACACCCCGGTTCTGCCCGTCAGAATTGACGGGCCCGCTAAGAATTGAAAGTGTGATCTCTGTAACTTACAGTTGTGGTGAGATGGCAGTAGCTAACAATCCCAGTAGAGTTGGCAGACAGGACTCAATCCAGATGACACCTTGAAGATGTTAGAGAAGTTTAATCCAAACTGTGCAGATTTTTGCAACAGCGAACATAAGAAGTTCAGAAGATTCATAATGTGATCCATTCAGCAAAGGTCATGTGGATAAGAAGCAGACTGGAACATAATGAAGAAGGGTGGAGCTATCTACAAAAAAGTCAGACACCAGCTGTAGTTTTTTTTTATTACAAAATATTTTATTGGTTCAACAGTTTTAGAAAATAGTGATATCTCTCTATATATACACACACTATACTGTACAAGTTGTCACACATGTGACACATGAGTTATAAGAGTTATGAGTTGTGACACATGAGTTATAAGAGTTATAAGTCATGACTGATGGATTCTTCCATTTTCGTCCCTCCGTTAAAAGCCCAATAAACACTCGGACTGCGCGACATGGATTTTAACGGCCACAGCAGCCCTTTAATTAAACCAAACCAACTTTAACAATAACCAAAAGTAATAAACCAAATAATAAACACAAATAATACTGTAAATGATGGTTGATCTGAGATGGGGTCTTTGGGTGCCCTACAGCCCAAAAAGGCCTCTCCTAACACTCCACCCATGTCCCCAGCCGCACCACAACCAGCTCGAGGACACTTACTCCTTCTGGGTTCCCAAGGGACCAGGCCCCGCCCTTTACAAATCCGGACACCAACAGGGGGGAAGCACCCATACCAGCTGAGGGCCCCCCATTTTTGTAATCAACTCCGATTTTGTAGACCCCCCAAAGACCCCATTTCAGCCAAAAATAAATTGTTAATGCAAAAGAGAAAAATGTGAATATTGTTATTATTATACAGGATTTATATAGCGCCAACAGTTTGTGCAGCGCTGTACAATATAAGGAAGACATCACAATACAATTCAAGAGAAGATGGTAAGGAGGGCCCTGCCCTGAGGGCTTACA